AATAATTTAATATCATAAAAATTTGTCTATTGACTACATATTCATTTTATTGTAAAGATCGAATCATTGTTCCATGAAAATCATATGTGTGCCCGGTAATATTTTTATTTCACGTCCAGGAATCGCGATGTACATATATGAGAATATTTTTCAATAAAAAAATTTTGATTCTTATTGTTGTTAGTATTTTTAGATGAACAAATTATTTGATAGCTCAATGAACTGATATTTCGTATTCGAAGTTTATTAACGAGAAAAATACTTTTTTATTTTAATGCTAGTGTCTACCATATTTTTGATACTTTTATAAATAGATACATAAATTTTTTTTTGTATCTTTATATATGAAATATTTTGAGAAAATTAAGTCTAAAAATATGCTTTTTTTATTCAATCAACTATCTGTTTGAAAATCGATATCAAACTAATCTATCAATTTTTTTCTTTGATAATTATATTACAAAACACTATGTAACATATCTATATCCTATACATGGTCTGATCATTATTAGAACTTTTCTGATGTAGAAAATCTTCAGAAAACGATACTTCCTTTTTTTTTCAACATTTCCGCTTAGTTCAATATGCATAATGGTCGTATTCAATCATCAGCTTATTCAGAGAAGTTATTATGTATATAGGATAAAAGTAGTTCTTTTCACAGTGGTGATCTTCATGCAGTGTTTGGTCATTATACTTTTGAATGAAATAAACAACAGTTATTATATATCTTATGAAATATGTTACCTTAATCACATGTAGGATCATTAATGCTTCATGTATAGGTCGTTATCGAAAGTCAATAGAGAACAGCACACAAACATTAAAGTAGACAAACAGAAGCTTCTTTTTTTTCTAAGAACGACAAGCAACAAAAGGTGCCCATATTTCTTTATAGATACACTCTAATGCCCAATAGAGATATATTAGATTAGAATTCAGTAATTTTTCTTTAGCCGAACTTGTTGATCTCGAGTATTGCCTTTCAACACAGTTGATATTAACCAGAAAAATGGTTTTCTTCGTCTCTTGTACACATTATTTATATTAATTATGTCTATATCATAAACTGTTCTGTGTTTTATGTTATTTAGAGAAATCATGACATTTTTTCACCAGTAACATATTGTTGTCACACAAACTCTAATATTATTTAATCTATCTAATTATGTCGTCATTTACGAGTGTGATGTTGTTTGTCAAATAATGCAAAGACATATTACCAAACTAAAATTTTCTTACATTCTACTTGATAATCTAGTTATTAAAATCATTCGTTACAGCACTTAAGAAGTAACAAGTCACACAAATGTAACTTACGAAGAGAAAATTGGTAATAGTCAGATAAAAGCGGATAAATTACAAAGCGATGAATTACAGCAGATAGGACATGATGTTATCAAAATCAACAATTCTCACTTAGCCTGTTTTTTGTTCGAAACCTACGACTATTATCTACACTTGGTGTACGTAGAATGCTTGTCAAAACATATTTATAGCATATCCTAGAGGATATTCATCTGTGGGATCAACATTGGCCAAATTTGATATACAAAAAAAGTTCAATTTGTGTAGTAATAGCAACTGGTACATGTTCACTGCGCATTGCATCAATATCTTTTCTAATTTAGTTCAACTGATTATATTCTTGTGTAGAAGAAAAAGTGAGTGCAACAAAATTAATTCATCCTTCAAACGAATTTTCATATTTTATTTTATCGGTGACTTATTTAATAACAAATAGAAACTGTAAATACGTAAAGGCTTTTTTTCACAGAACAGACCGACGCGTAACAAGAACTTTTGTGTTCATGGTCGGACTCACACACTCAAGAAAAGTAAGTTAAGTTGTTAAAGTTTGTCTCGAAAGACTCTTTTTGCGTTAATGTGCTCTGTATCACAGATGTTTCTGGATTACTTCTTCGCTGCATTCATTCTTCATTCATGACAGCATATTTTTTCCATCACCGATCTCACCGGGTATGCCGAAAACTGTTAAAAAGAAAAATATTAAACGACTAATACTAAAAATCAATTAAATATTTTTCTATTTGAACTAATAAATATTTTCTTATTGTACGATAGAAAAATATTAATGTTTTTCGCCTAGGATAGAAAAATATGAAATTGTTTTATTCAGATAGAAAAATATTTAATAAGGTGCAAAAATGATCTGCTTCGCTCAGGTTAGCATAGTTAGTTTCACACAGCTGACTAGGCTGTTTGCTATTAACATTTACAGAAGTGTCAACAAGATACTATTGTCACGTTCGGAAGTGTCATTAAGAAGTTAATACCACTTTTTGAAAGTGTCAACTAGAAGCTACTTCCGGACGAACGAAGTAATATCGTAGTTTGCACCTGTTCTTTCTTCAAGTAAGGAAAGTATAATTCTTCGGAGTCTGTATTTAAGAAACGTATAGTAGTCATTCCTTACTAAGTAAGTCCTTACTGAGTAAGGACGTCCTATCTCGAAAAATAATCTCAGTTTTATCTTTATAAAAAGTTTGAACTTGAAGAACGTTCCTTGCAAATAAGTCCTTACTGAGTAAGGACGTCTTGTCTTATAAAGGTAAAACTGAGATTATTTTTCAAAACTTTTCATAGTCTGCATCGAAGAAAAGCCTAGCACTATTTACTAAGTAAGTTCTTCCTCAGTAATCAGTACTTACTGAGCAACTACTGCCCTTGCCTTATAGAGACTACACTTAGAAGTTATTACAAGTTTTTATTGTTTTTATATCCTTAGACAGGCACCGAACAAAGACTGTTTATAGCAAAAGAAGGCAAAAAAATTTCTCGATTTCTTAGAGGAGTTACACTTTACTGCTGCGTCCCATCCGCATATTTGTATCTTCTTGGTAGGTTCAAACTGCGACATTACTTCCTTCGTTCAGAATGATATAAACTGGATAGAAAAATATTAAGGTTTTTCGTATGGAACAGAAAAATATTTAATTATTTTAAAATAAAGAAAAAATATTTCAATAAAAAAAAAAATTGAATGGACTAATATTTAAATAAGGCGGAAAAATATTTAGTTGATTCTTAATATTAGTCGTTTAATATTTTTCTTTATAATATTAGTCTATAGACCCATCTCACCACATTTGCATCAAGCACAGCATATATTCGAATTGTTTGTGAATGAAACATAGATAGCATGATATATATATATTGTCTACGAATTCGATGGCAGAACGTCTGTTTTCTAATGCTGGTTTTACCATTAAGGAAAAACGAACAAGACGAAGTTCAGCTAAAGTAGATAAAATGTTATATTTAAGAAAAGGCTTAGATTTCTGAAACAAATTAATGTAACCGGGCAAAATTACAATAGATATCTATACTATTTAAAAATTAGTTCATATGATCATACGATGATCACCTCATTTTGCGTTTAACATATATATACACGTCGTACTTCTTATGAAGTTATGTGGCTGATGATGACTCTAGCCTGTGTTGAAAGCTTATATTATTAAATAAAATAATGAATTTAGTTGAGTTCTTCGTACAAATATTATTCACGTTTATCAACGTTTTCTCAACAAACGATATTATTTCCAGTTGAAAGATTGAACGCTACATTTTACTCTCAATTATCCAAATTATACGACGAAAACACAGCCTTATCGTGCAATTTGTGGGAATGCTATTTATTTTGTGATACATGTACGGTTCTAAAGTTATTGTTTGGGTTTACTTTGTTCCTTCAGTTTCTTTTTTCAGATGAAACATTAAAAACAAGATCGAAACAATGATGCTGTGTCTGTCTCATCGATGTAAGAGTAAAATATAAATGACATTTAAATTTTTTAAACAACAATAGAAGGAAATTTTTGGAAAGTTTACTTTCGAACAAACGTTTCATGAAGTTCACGGTCTTCTGCTATTATGCATTTTGATGTCTAAACCATTTAAAAGCAGCATTACTTTTACCTACATCTTAAGTACTTTAGAGAGAAGCTCGCACAATTAGTGGAGTGAAACAAATAAATTTTCGATGGTTTGCAAACATTGCACTGCCACGTTCCTCTTTGAATTAATCATATCCTCTTCGATAGTTTTGTTAGTTCATGATCGATGTTCACTGATCCCTCATGATATTTTCGAGTAAAACAATTAGAATTATCCGATTAGCTTATTGCAATGAAGTTTTAATCAAAACGTAATTTAAAGCGAAAACTAACATGACATTGTGAGTGTTGTCAATGTTCACCTTTTAATCATACTGAGTCTAATATACAACAGAAAAAACCTCAAAAAACGCAATTTAACTGACAAGTAGTGGATAGATTACTTAATATTAAAAAGTTCACCGCTCGCTTACAAACATCAAGACGAGTTGGAAACTTCAAAATAATATTAGTTTTATATGTTTGATGTAATTGTATGATCAAAAGAAATTGAAAACAATGTTTCTGTACGAGGGTTTTCTGGAAAACTTTTTGAAAAACCATATGGTTTTAGAATCTTTTTTTCTAGGTTTTTTGTATAAATACGGTATAGAATATCTTGAATTTTGTACGTTCGGAAGTTTCCAACTCGTCCTGATGTTTCTGAGTGAGCCGTATTAAGTGAAAACAGCGTAGTAACCCCAATTTTCATAAAACTCTGTTTTCACCTTGCTCTTGTGCTCTTATCTAAAACTAAACATTGTCATTAGATCCAGCATGTCTGATTACGTATGTTCTATGCAGCGCCAAGCCTACCTGAAGTCACCTGATACTAGTCGTGGGACTCCAAGAAAACCTGGATAGAAGATACTATTACAAACAGGATGTTTTCTTCTGCACTATCTGGCTGTACTTCAGTGGAAAGAGCGTAAAAAACTGATTAAAATGCACATTTCAGTCATATCTACCTTTTAAACACAAACTCAATTGGTATGTGGGTATGTGAGTAGTCTATGTGCCGTAGTTTTTTCGGTATTAATACCGCTATTTCCCCCTTGGATACGCCTGGTTGAAATCGAGGCCTTTTTACGTTTTCTGTGACTATAATAGACGAATATTTGATATTTCAAACATACAAGGATCTTCACCAACTATATCCTGGAGTTCAAGTTCATCGATTAATCGTTTTTCTTCCGTGTAATCATTCTCTTCGTACAAATATTCTTCCTGGTCACTATCGATCCCTTCTTCTCGTAATTCGTGCTTAATAGATGATGTTTTTGGAGTATTAGACGTTGATGTAAATTGTTTGTCAGACTGAATCGGTGAGCGCTCTTCTTCGACATCCTCCATTCGTGGTCCGCCATTTAAATTATTTTCATGTTTCGTTGATTGTTTCAAAACGACTTACTGGTAAAACTCTCGTCTTCTCTATTAAATGGAAAACAAACTCATTAAACTTTGCATTCACAAGAATACTTGGAGAATAGCAGTAAACGCTGTTGCAGAGTTTCTGCCACAATTCATAACGAAACTGTGACTGGCAATATTCTTCAACAAGTCTTTTCCGAGCACTAGCGATTCTTTTATGTTCTTATCAAACAGGAAAGACAAGTCGTATACTCTTCTTTTGTGATTATCTCTCGTCATGCTTACTTGTCTGTAGAGCACCTCGATGGCTAATAGAACTCGATATGGACTCAAAATTCTGATTCTAGTCCAGGACCGTAGCCACGGAGAGGAACTAAGGGGATCGTTCCCTCCTGGACTTCAGAAAAAATGACCTTTTCCCACTGAATACCGTCGAAAAAAGTTGCTAGTTGATAAGACCTCACACTATTTTTCTATAAAAAAACAACTCAGTAATGTTAGGTGTGTAAAAAATATGATACACTTACCAATCGATCGCTTATAACGTGAAGCATGTTTTCTTCTACGACATTAATAATGATCGTTTTCAATACCGCTACTTTTAAATATTGTTCGAATAAAATTATTGTACAATAATAATAAAATTATCTACATGATGTACCTAATAGAATTAATAGAACAAAAGTTTATTCATACACTGTAATTTGCAATTAATTTCTAGTTTATAGAAAATTGATCTGGAAAATCGTGGATCTTTTTCTGATATTTATAAAATGCTCGTAGATTTCTGACTTTTTAGAAATTCGCGATTTTCGATTTTCTATAAATTGACTTTCTATTTTATTCAGAAAATCGCCATAGAATTTCCAGAAATATCAAAATTCGGCGCCGATTTTATAAATATTGGAAATTCGAGTTTGATTTTCTAATATTCTAGAAAATCGATCTGTTTTCTATAAACAATTCATTCCCAAGATTTCTGAAATTCGAAACCGATTTTCAAGATAGTTGGAAATTCGAAGATGATACGGTATACGTGGGTCAGTCATATTATGTGCAAGTCATTAATTAATACTTTTGTGTGAATAAAATTAAACAGAAATTCTACTAGGGATCTGATACTTGAAAAAAGGTTAAGCTGATTTCAAGGGCCCACGAAGCTCTTTCAACAAAGATTGTTGATCTAATACATCCATTTAAAGTTGCCAGATGTTTATAGTCCATGGTGTGTCTGAGCAGTTGCAGGCGTTTTGAATCTTCATCAGGTTTTAGTACTCACTCTTGCACTTAGTCTTACAATTTGGATTTGAATTTAACTTTACCGTCTTTTATACTATTTTTTATTTCAGATGATAAAGACTTTAAAGGTCACTAATCAACGGCACTTCAAAAACGCGTTTTGTTTAACTCAAATCATCTAAATGCATTTACGTCTTGCAAAATACGTCTTTATGGGTTAAAGTTTGTTCGTTCCATTAATATTATTTTAATCTATAAACGGACTTTTAATCTCGGAAGATAACGTTAAAAAACGTCAGTTAATCCCAAAGCGCGTTATGAGAATTTAGGGTGTAATTTTAATGTATTATAACACGTCTAAAATTTTAAGTTGTCTTTTGCAGATTACAAGCAATAATCTGGAAATTCTTCGGCGATTTTCCAGATAACTGGAAATTAATTCTATTTTTCGAATTTCCAAAAGTCCATATATAAAATCGCCAAGGAATTTTCAGACTGAAAATCGCTGAGCATTTTCCATAATTTCAGAAAATCGAACTGGAAATTCGACTTCAATTTCCAGAATGCTGAAAAACCGAGGTCGCATTTACATTAGTTTAACGCATTTAATTAAGAAATTCACATTCACATTTTAATTTAGATATGACTTACACTCTAAAACAAAAGTGCGACTTAAGATCAAATTAAGTCGCATTAAAGTGCCTTATTTTGTGAAAATAAGACACATTAATGCGGCTTAATTTGATTCTAAGTCGCACTTTTTTTTAGAGTGTACACTGCGGTCCGACTACGTACATAATCAAGATTATCTTTGATTGCGATTAAATTTATTCGTGATTAAATTTTTTAAGTTGTGTGTGACCGTTTTACGTCCAAGTTAACCATAATTAAGTAAATCCACGTCTCAATCGAAAAAAAGATCAATATGGTTGTGCTTCTGTCTAATTGCTCAACTAGAATAACTAACTAATCTCTTTTGAGCTATTCTCTGAAGTTTATTTTGAAAACATGGTTTCTTCCATTGATTCTATTCTTCTAACATTTGAGCTAGAGAAGGCGTTCGATAAAAGTCCTCACTAGAGCCCTACAGGTTATAACTTTTGACAACCTAAACCTAACCTAACCTATTAATGTTTTTCGTAACCTAACCTAGGTTAACCTAATACAACCTTTTGCAATTTCTTCCCACAATCTGGTTTCAGAAGCCTAAACTTTAGCTTTGTTCCATATCGTTCTTGTTTGTTATCTAAACACCGTCTGAAAGGTACGGTACGCTTATACAAAATAAATCACATTTTACATGAATATAGAAATGAATCGGTTGAGTCTTTTATTCTTTAATGCAATCTTTGGAAAATAGCTTTCTGAATAGGAAGACCCTCTTAAGAGTAGACCAGAATTTCACTTTAGGCTCTCGATGCTACGAAGGTTCTGTTATTGTTGTGTATTTGCTATCTACTTTTAGCAAACGGAAGTTTTTTCTCTGTACTTCCTGTTTTAATTGTGCTATTTTTCAGTTTAAAGTGGAGAACCTCGGTCTGAACTTCATCCTCAATCGAAAAAATTCCACCTGGACTACGCTTTATTACTCAAAGTGTTGGCTGTTTTAATGTGGCCATTCAAAATTGTTTTTTTCGTTTAGGTTAAAAATAGGTTATCAATGGCGTACCTACAACCTAACCTATAAAAAATTTCATAACCTAAACCTAACCGAACCTGCAGGGCTCTACTTCTCACCAGTTACCTCTAGCGCGTCTTTCTACTCTTGGTGTTAAGAATGAAATGTTCATGTGATTTTCTAGTTATTTGTCTAAT